ATTAAGCAAGGTACACACAGGCTTACTTGTGTTTACTTACTAATCAGTAGTGCACAATTTCACATGGGTTTCACCACATCTTTTTTTTTTTAACTAAGACAAATTTATCAAGACATACAGAAAAGTATAGGGAGTAAAATAATGAACACCCATATACCCATCACTTCGATGCAGCAATAGTTAATGTTTTCCTATATTTGTATCATTTTCCCCTCAGAGGTATTTTAAGGTACATTACAGACATCATGACATTTCACCCCTAAATACGTTAGTTTGCATCTCTAAAAAGACTGTTTTCTTTCCTAATCACAAGACCTTACAATATTGACAATACAGCCCTTCCCATAGGTCACTGTCCACTTTGACAAGATGCTGACCACCAATGCCAAGCTCCGGAAGGAGATTGAGGATCTCCGGTTTGAGAAGGCCGCTTATGACCATGTCTACCAACAGCTGCACCGGCGCATGTCGATGCAGAAGAAAACCATGAATGTGGCCATTGAGCAGTCTGCACAGGCCTACGAGCAGAGGTGGGCTGGGGAGAGACCCCTGGGCTCAGAGAAGCCTCTGGGCCCCTTGCTGAACATCTGTCTTCTTAGTCTGAGCAACCTCTGCCCCTGTGATTATGTGTTGGGGAAACTTCAGTCGTAATAGTAATAATCCTGAGCGCTATGTGCCAGGCATGGTGCTAAGTGCTCTGAGTATTAATTTATTTTTAAAAAATTTATTGTGGTAAATACCACCCCCCCCACAAAAAAAGACCAGTTGCTGTTGAGTCAGTTCTGACTCATGGAAACCCCATGTGTACAGAGTAAACCTGTGCCCCATAAGGTTTTCAAGTCTGTGACCTTTTGGAAGCAGAGTGCCAGCCTTTCTTCTGAGGTGCCTCTGGGTAGGTTCAGACTGCCAAACTTTTGGTTAATAGTTGAGCACTTAACCTTTTATACTACCCTGGGACTCCGTGGTAAATATATATAATATAAAATTTTCCATTTTAACCATTTTTAAGTGTATAATTCAGTGGCATGTAGTACATTCACGGTGTTGTGCGACCATCACCACTATCTAGTTCCAAAACTTTTTCATCACCCCAAATAGCAACTCTGTTCTGGGTTTTATTTTGACCCTCACAATCGCCCTAGGAGTTATCGCCCCCATTTTACAGACAAGGACATGGAGGTTTAGAGATACTAAGATACTTACTTGAGATTCAGCTACATTGTGGATGTGGTGGTGCTAAGATTCAACCACTATGCAGGTGGTCCTACTGCTAGTCATAGGGATCTCTCGCAGTCCAGGTATCTCCTGGATCCACACTCATTGTGGCAACTGGCACACAGATTGACTATGAAGAGCACAGGTTTTGAAGGCACAAAGATCTGGGATTGAATCCTGGCTCCATCACTACTACGTTGTTGTAGGACCTCTTTGAGTGGTTAAAAACAAAACAAAACAAAATCCACTGCTGTCAAGTCGATTCTGACTCATAGTGAGGTAGAACTGCCCCATCGGGTTTCCAAGGCTGTGGCCTACAGAAGCAGATCACCACGTCTTTCTCCCATGGAGCGGCTGGTGGGTTTGAGTTGATTCCAACTCACAGCAATCCTAGAAGACAGAGTAGAACTGCCCCATAGGGTTTCCAAGGAGCAGCTGGTGTATTTGAACTGCCGACCCTTTGGTTGGAAGCTTGTAGCCCTTAACCACTGCGCAACCAGGACTCCTTTGGGTGGTAGTGAGGATTAAATAATATATGTAAGGGAGGGCCTGGGACATGGTAATTGACAAGTGGTATCGATAATGATGATGATGATGGAAAAATAATTTCCTGGGGATGGTCTAGAGCTTGCCGCTGGTGTTGTTTAGGTAAGGAGAGTTGTTCCACTCCCAGAACTTCCATGGTTAAAAGAAGTGATGGTGGTGGTGGAAACAACTCAAGTGCCCATCAGCAGGTGAATGGATAAACAAAATATGGTGTATCCATACAATGGAATATTATTCATCCGTAAAGAGAAATGAGATTCTGATATATGCTACAACATGGATGAACCTTGAAAACATGCTGAATGAAGTTGATCTTGTTAGCTGCCATCAAGTCAATTCCAACCCATGGTGACCCCATGTGTCCAGAGTAGAACTGTGCTCCATAGGGTTTTCAAGGGTGTGACCTTTAGGAAGCAGATCGCCAGGCTTGTCCTTTTTTTAATTGTTGTAGTTAAATGAAGTTTACATTTCAAGTTAGTCTCCCATACAAAATTTTATACATACATTGTTATGTGACCCTAATTGCTCACCCCATTCTGTGACAGCACACT